GCTCACCCGAAGGTGAGTACCTGCAGCCTAACGAGTGGCCGTTTCGTTCCTTAGCTGTAGGGAATGAATTTCACCACTGGCTCGTGTACTGGGACCCTCCTGGCACCCTCAGACGCCTTTGCACCCGTAGGTCTTCGCCGCATTTATTTATTCACATCGCGATTCTAGTTCCTCTTGCACTTCACTGACTCCTGCTCTTGAGTTTGCTGACTCCGTCAAGGCATAAACAACCACCAGCACCAGTTGCTCCTGTGCTCCAGGATACCTAGTTCCTGGGAAAGGTAACGGATGGAGGAGGATGAGGAGCCCAGGCCAAGCTTTGTGGCACTGCCGGGAGCCCGCTGACCGCTGGTGCGTGGGGTTTGTCTGACTGCGCTGAAGCAAGCTTCACACCTCCACTTACAGTTTGCTTAGTCTTTATTTTCAAATATACATGCAAAAAAAAAAAAAACCCCACCCCAAAACCATCGGCACATCACAGCACTAGATCACAAAGAAGGGGGGGCAGTGGGTGAAGCTGGCTCTGGTATTTGGGAGAAACATCAATTTGCACATAGTTCACTGTAACATTCTCTTAAAACTTCATCTAAACTGGGACCCTCTGTAGTGCAGGAGCCTCTGAAGGCAACACGCAGCTCTAGGAGGCTTCCCGTTCCCTTTCTTAGGGATGGGTGCCCACGCCACAAGGGTGGAGGTCACCCAACCGCAGCAGCTTGGTCTGGAACTTGCCTAGCTGGGCAAACAGGTCATGAACAGCCGTTTCTGCCAAAGGCTCCCCCTTCCCTCATCAAAAGAAACGTCAGTGTGTCTGTGAAGGGTGTACACCTTCCGGGGAGAGCCATGGATAGCCAAGGCTAAGGCAAGTCCAGCTCCGGAGCCTGGCGCTGTAAACGCGCCGGGAAGTGACGGCACATCAGCACGTGTCACCTTGGCACAGCTTTATTAAAGGTGAAGCCACGTGGGAGGGACCTTCGCAAGGGCTGTTGTTCTGCGTGTCATTTTTTACCTCAACTTGCTGTGCGTGGGCGAGGAGGTGGAAAAGTCCCGATCAAAAGCAAAACGCAGCAGGACTCCATCTCCTTTCGTCCTCAAATCCAGGATTTTTTAGAGTTCCTGGGAATCTTCCCCCGTAACTGCAGATGACAAAACTTCACCCTTTCGGTTTGGTTTTTTGTTCTCATCTGAGAGGCTGCACACTGTTAAAATCAGACTGACAAGCCCGCGGAGGCTTAGAAGCCGAACACCACACGCAGAAGCACTGGTCAGCCGGGTTCTCGGGCTGCACCGCTGGAATCACAACCCTGGAGAGCCAGGATTTAAAAATAACTCGTTGACTTCCTTTCGGAGTTGTCCACTGGTGGTTCAGTTCAAACAGGCAAGGGAAGGGTCGTTCTGGAGGACTGTATTCCTTCAGCTGGCACGCCGCAAGCTCGCGGGAAAACTGGACCGTTCCAGGCACACCGGCTGTCCTTCGCGTGTATAACAAACCAAATCCCAGACCTGGGTCCTAGGCAGGGGGAATAAAGAATTCCCCTTTGGTAATTATTCCGATTTCCATCCGCTGCTGTGGCTTTCTTGCCCTTTTCGGGGTCCAGACACTGGTGCCCACCTGCTGCCCGTAACTCGCCTGCCCGAGGCGCGGTGATGGATGGAGAAAATGGATTATTCCTTTCGATTGCCAGCCGAGAGATGCTTTTCTCTTGGCGGAGTCCTGACGTCACCCCTGGGTTGTCCTCGAAGCGAAACCCGAATGTAGCATCTTGGAGTTAAGGGACTTTCTCTCGTCGCTCTCACCTCTCGTCCCATCGTTGGTGGGCTGCCTTCAGCGACCGGAAAGTGCGGTCAGGGTGGGAAATCCCGCCGGGGACAGACCTACACAGCCAGGGCTTTCTAGCAGGAATATTTTTAGAGTGAAAGCGTTTCAGTTTGCTGTTTTAAAAAAGAAAACCAGGAATTTTGTGCGGCTGGCAGCTGTCCTTCTGTGAGAATAAGTGTTTGTTCCGTCCATAAAGGGAGGAAAACTGCCTCGCTGGAGAACGACAGACAGAAGGTACTCACTGTGGGTGTGCTACGCATCTCTTGGCGTCCGTGAACGTGACAGAGGAGAAATATTCCGTTGTTTCTTGAGGCGGATACCCAAGCTTAGGCATCTCGATCAGCTGCCAAAACTACTGTGCATATCTGAAACGGCAGAACGTCTCAAAAACTGCCCTGGGCCAACTGATCGACAGCCACGGGGAAAATCTCTGCAGCAGCAGTGGCGTCCTTTCGCAATGCCTCAGGACCTTGTGCTTTACGGTGGAAAATGAACCCTGTCCCATGAAACCAGTTTGGATTGGGAAGTGAGGTGAAACAGCAGAGCGAGCAGCTCGGCTGCAGCCAAGACTTAAATAAGCTGAGTTCTGGTGGGAAAGGCACCTCCTGCTTCTAGGAGAGGCTCGGGTTAGCTTGGCCAGTCTTTGTTCGCAGGACGTAATGCTCAAAAGCTTCAACACTGGACAAACTGCTAAAGTTACGGCTAAACAACATCATACCATCCATCTACTCGTGGCTAGGAAAAGGGAGAGAGGCCACCCAAGGTCCTTCGGGGCATGAAGGATCTCCGTGAATTAGTGCTTCTGTGGCTGGCGGACTCGGTTGCCTCCTCCGTTGTGCAGCACTCAAGGAGTGTCTCTGAAGGGCTCAGTCTTGTTTCTCCTCCCTCACCCTCGTTCTGAATTTGAAGCAGCATCCATCCGAGGTCCTCGTGAAGGGCTGGGAGCTTTTCCACGGTCAGGAGGTGAAGTAGGAGCTCTGCATGGAGTAGAGTCGGTCAATGGGGTTGCCCACGCGGGCTTGGAGGAGGTTGGCTTCGGCCGTTGACAGCAGGCAGTCTCCCAGGTGGCTGATGCTGTCACTGTCCATGTCGTGGAAAACTCCTTCGGAGTCTAGAAGAGGAAGGAAAAGGAAAGAGGTGGGGAGCTGCGGCGCAGAAAAAGGGTGACAGCAGGGCTGTGTTTCGCCTGGAGCAGCGGCCAGCAGCGCTGGGGTGAGATGAGCCCCACACGCAGGTCCTGCTTTAGGTGTAACCCTTTCCTCACCCAAGGGTGGAGGGAAGACCCCAGGCTCACTCCCTGGCCCCTAGCAGAGCTCAGTCTGAGGCTCTGGCCTCACTTCTGAGACAGGCTCAGCCCAAAGCTCGAGTCCTGGGGAACACTGACTGCTGCCGGCTT